TCAACATTTAGCCCTTCACCTTATAAGATTAATAGGTTTTAACCCCTCATCTTATAATATAACAGTTTTAGTCATTTATTTTACAAAGTTAGTAAATTTTAGTCTCTCACCTTACAAAGTTGATAAGTTTTTACTATTTACCTTATATTATGATATTTTTAGCCCATTATCGATACGAATTAAAGAAAATAACCCTCACCTAATATCAGGTTATAACATTTTGTTAGTTCTGTTAGTTGATTGTTAACATCTGTTAGCATTTTATTATAAAAAAATATAAAATTTAAATTCAATTTTATTTGTTAGTTTCATTAACGGAATGCTAACGGATACTAACAGTCAACTAACAGAACTAACAATCAGTTAACAGAACTGACAGTCTGTTAACAGAACTAATAAAACAATAAAATCTGAAGTTAAGGAAAAGTTATTTTCTTCAATTCGTACAGATAAAGGGTTAAAAGTGTCATAATATAAGGTAAAGAATTAAAATTTACCAATTTTATAAGATGAGAAGTTAAAACCTATCAACTTTATAATATAAAAGATTAAAAATATCATATTATAAAATTAAAGACTAAAACTTATCAATTTTATAAAATGAGAGGTTAAAACCTATCAACTTTATAATATAAAAGATTAAAAATATCATATTATAAAATTAAAGACTAAAACTTATCAATTTTATAAAATGAGAGATTAAATATTAGTTTTAACCCATTTCCTTCTCTAAAAGGAGCTTCTTCATCTTCATCATTTTGGACGGCAACTCATCACACTTCTCACAAACCCCATTTATACCTTTTTTGACGTGGCCGAACAATGTCTATATCCATGTCAGGTTTCAGCACTTTGTGCAACATTGAGATTAGATCATCTTCATTATTTACAGTACATGAACGTGCTAATTAAAACATGTACCTACTATACATTGACATCATCATAATATCTTTTGAACATCAATTTGATTGACCAACATCATGATCTGGCGAGCTAAAGGTAAACATATTTTGCAGAGATGGATTGAGATTTTATTCTGTTAGGTCTAGACTCGCCAATACACACCCAAAATATATTAGTGTGGTGCACGATTCTCTAATTGGTATATGCTTATGCTTATCTAGGATAATTAATGAGATATATGTGAATATATAAGACTATTGATAAGTTGAGACTTCGAGCTCATTAATTATTATAACTTTGAATTCAATCTATCTGCTTAGCAGTGGCGGAATCAAGATTTTTCCTTGGTAGG